GCTTGGGGAAAGGGCTCCTAGGACACTGGTGACATTCTGCTGTGTAAGCTGGGTGGCCAGTGCCCTGGTGAGGGCTCTACGTATGTTGTTATGTTAACTGTTCCCCATACACTCAGTACGCTCTGCCTGGATGTACTTTTCCCACTTAAGCTAAGTAGGTGAAGAATTGCTGCCGAAACGTTTCCAGCCTATTGATTAGCATTTAATTGATTTATTCCGCAAATGCTGCTCTTGAAGGATTCATTGAGATACCATTCCATTAGGGTAATCGATATATATTGCATTTTAGAATGGAAGACTGCAGCTAACCAGTACTAATTCATTATCCTCATCATGCAGAAAATGCATGCTGTTACCCTAAGAAACATAGTGCAGCTAGAGGGTTTGAATGAAACTAGCCCCCCTACGTTGCTTCTCCGCTGCTCCGATCTCTGCTGGAGCATGGGTCCCGACTGCAGTTCACAGGCACAGTTCTTGGTCTCCCTGCGAGAACCGGTCTTCTTTGGAATGTTGGTGTGGGGATTCTATAAGGTCTTGTGGGTTCTCTTTCTGTGGCACCGACACAAATGTTCACGCTTAAACTCACGTGATTGCGGGGAAGAGAAGGGGCTACACATCATTGTCCTTCACTTTCCAGAACGGTGGGGCTTGCTTTCTGAGAGAGTGATCGTGTGTTGCTGGCATAGGTCAGCACGCTCTAGTTACACTGGGGCAGTCACCTAATCGGGTATCCATTTAAGGATGAAGAGAGTAGGGGTGGGTCCAGCCTGTCAATCTAGAGATAGCCAATGAGACTTCTGTGTGGGCATGGCCTTCTGAGAATTCTGGGAAATCTGGTACTTCCCCCACAGGTTAAGAACTGCTAGTCTACATGTACCTAAACACGCGCGCGCACACACACACACACACACACACACACACATACACACACATGCAACACGAGGAGCCTTCAGAAAGTTCGTGGAAGAATGAAATTGAAAGTGAATGGAATTTTTCTATGAACTTTGGTGCCTCCTCGCACAGACCTGTCTACATGAGGCTGAGCTGACTGAAAGGATACCGAGATGTGTGCTTATAAGCCCAATGAACACGCTCGTTTCTCTAAGTCAGTGGTTCTCAACCTTTGGGTCATGACCCCTATGGGGGTCCAATGACCCTTTCACAAGGATCACCCATTCATCACCGTAACAAAATGACAGTGATGAAGTAGCAATGAAAATAATTTTATGGCTGGGGGGAGGGCGGGTTCACCACAACATGTGAAAGGGTGGCGGCCTGGAGACCCCCTTGCAGAGGGGTCTCGGGGAGGAGATGAGCCAGTCAGGGTGCGATGTAACAATGATGAGAAATACAACTTTCCTCTAGTTCCTAAATGTTTCCTCCCCGCTCCCACTACCATGACTCGAATTCCACCCTGCAAGTCTGGCTAGACCAGAGGAGGTACACTGGTACAGATAGGAACTGAAAATACAGGGAATCCAGGACGGATGAGCCCTATAGGACCAGTGGTGTGAGTGGCAAAACAGGGAAGGTAAAGGGAGAATGGGTAGGAAAGAGGGAACCGATTACAAGGAACTATATGTGACCTCCTCCCTGGGGGACAGACAACCGAAAAGTGGATGAAGGGAGACGTCGGACAGGGCAAGATATGACAAAATAACAATTTATAAATTATCAAGGGCTCAGGAGGCAGGGGGGAGCAGGGAGGGAGGGGAAAATTGACCTAAGGCTGGGGGTTTAAGTGGATAGAAAATGTTTGAGAATGATGAGGGCAATGAATGTACAAATGCGCTTTACACAATTGATGTGTGTATGGATTGTGATAAGAGTTGTATGAGCCCCTAATAAAATGAATTTTTTTTTAAAAGGTGGCGGCCTGAGGAAGGTTGAGAAGCACCATTTTTAAGTTATGTTTAATGAGAATAAATGGCAAGCCCCAGAGAGCACGACTTGAGGCGATTAGAGTCAGGTTTCACAAAGGGTCGGGAAAGGGGGGCGGAAATCCCTGAGACAGACTCGGGGCAAAGCCAGACTCTCACACACTTTCCCCCAAACCCAAATGGAGATGTGCGGGCCTCATGTTACAGAGCTGGGACACTGGTGCTGGTTTCAAAGGCTCGGCAATCGATAGGGTTTCAATTGCTTGGAAATCTGCACGATTCTTTGAAACACCAGACAGCGTCAGATCCCTAAATTAAGTGTGGTTGCCGCAAGAGGGCGAGGTGTTGATGGCGTCGTTTGTTGGGATGGATCCCTAAGAACACAGGACCTGTTGACACCACAGCTCCACACCCAGCGTCTCCTGTGTTTGGAAAATGACCAGCTTCACCCTCCACCTGGGGTGATTCCTTAGCCCCATCAGTAGCTGCTCCACAATTAAGATCTCGAAGCAGCTCCTTAAGATTAGTAAATGGAAAATGAAAGCGGAAACCCCACTTGGGTGTGCGCCTAAGGCTGTCCCAGTTTTCTGCACCTGGGACTGGCTAAGCCTGCGTCACGGGTGCTTCCCTGCAGGCGAATGAGCCCTACCTCTGCACTGCCTGTCGTGGTGACCGGCCAGCCACAGGGAACTGTGGAGCCTTAACGTGGGGCTCGGGCACCTCAGCCACTGCCTTCTAAACGCGATTGCACTTTCCTTGCATTTAAGTAGTTAGGGTGCCCATGCTGAATCTAGGAAGACTGCGGGAAGATGCGCTCAGAGTCAGCCCATATGTGAGTATTAGCCCGGTAATACGCAGACTGTGGCCTGAGCTAGTGCACGTGTGAGTATTAACCTGGGCCTCAAACGTGCATGGTCGCCCCGTGGTGGTGGTTTGTTTAGATTCTGTTTCATTATTTGGATGGAGGTTGGGTATTTGGAACTTTGAGTCTCTTTAGTTTAAGATGTAGTGCAATGTGGTTACTTCATTATATAGAGGGAATGCTCTGTGTGTGTATATGTGCATCTGATCATGTGTAAACACACACGTACTCACTCACAAGCTATAGAAGTGGCAGTGGTGCCTTTCAGATAAGGAATTGCCTTGTGCTTGGTGACCGCCCCTGAGTCGGCTGGAGTTCTGGTGACATTGTGTGAGACGGGAAGGCACGGTGTCCTCTTGGTCCTGCGCTGTCTGAATGGTCAGCAGAGGGTCTGAGTCTTCTGTTGCGGCTGCTAGGCCGAGCCTCCCATCGCCAGTGTTTGAGTTTCATCCGCACACTTTTATTGGGCATGTCTGGGTGAACTCAGCCCATCAGCTGTGGTTGTGGGTGGTGTTGTGGTGGTTGGTGGTGGTGGCGGTAGGTGCCATTGAATTGGTTGTGACCATAGCAACAGGATGTACACCAGAAGGAAACATGACCGGGTCCTGTGCCAGCCTCACCGTTGTTCTTATGTTTGAGACACCGGGTCGATCCATCTTGTTGAGGGTCTTCCTGTTGTTGGGTGCCCCTCTCGTACCAAGCGTGATGTCCTCCTCTGGGGCCTGGGCTCCCCTGACAACATCCCAGCAGCACCAGCCCAGGCTCATTGTAAGGAGGGGAGAGAGAGAGACCATCCTGGCTGTCCCTGGAGCTGGGTGGGGGAGGAGAGCAAATGAGAAAGCAGGGAGGGGTCCTGCATCAGGAGGCGTTTGGTAATCCAGGGGAGAGGCCCTTGTGGTCGGTGCCGACCTGGGCATTGGGACTTGAATTTTGGAGCCCAGATTGCCAGACTTTTAATGGATTCCGTGACGGAGAAAGAGGCATCCGGGATAGTGGTATACATTCCTGGCAGGGAGCGGCTGGGGAAGTAGTGGTGCCATTTGTAGAGAAGGCGATGATGGAGGGAGATAGACTCCAGGCCATCCCGAGTGTGGGGCTGAAGGACAGGGCGGTGTGGCCAGCAACACGGGAATTACCCGAGGGCCATCGTAGAGGGGGCGTGCATCCCCCAGATCATCACACTCCAGAATTCCCCCAACCCCAAGAAGGGAATATACTTTCCTCCCCAACAGGGGACCCTGAGGATCCCAGACAGACAGACAGCCGGTCAACACACAGTGACCTTCCCTTGACGGTCCGCTGCTTGTCTTTCAGCATCACCCAGAGCTGTTGAGCTTCCGATTACACCTGGGACGCGGAGAACTCACCCTGAAGCTGGAGAGGAACGAGTAAGTCACCTTTACTTCTTGTCTTCGGTGTGAGAGGAGGCAGCGGAGGGGCTGCTGACTGGCAGGTGGAGAAGCAGACGTGAGCGCAGGTTCTTCATCCGGCTAGTCCTGGGCTAGGAGTGACCTCAAGAAAGGGTCCAGTGGGCAAAGACAGAGAAGTGATCGCTCGGGGAACCAGCACCTCCGCAGGTGTCCTTCCAGCTGACTTTTGTTTTGCTTTGCCTGTGGTCGGATTTCCTCCCCACCCCCACCCCCACCCCCAAGGACAAGATGTAAGGCCTGCCTGATCCGCTGAAATCACTAAAACCAGACTCAACGCCCTGCAGTTGACAGGACTCCCAGCAGCCCTCTGCAACAGCAGAATGGCACCCATGCCCTTCAAAGACTTGTCCTGGGAGTGGGAAGTGTCATCTTTCTTGTGAAGAGTGGCTGGGGGTCCGAGAGCAGTGCCCCTGGACCACTTGGGGTGATGCTTGGGACTTTGTCAGGGGCTAGAAACTCTTTTCTCCCTGAGACCTACCAGGAGTTCATTTTACTCTGTGCTGTAAACTGCTCATCTTCTCTTTAGTTTGAAATGTAGCCTCCTTTTTTTCCCTTTTGAAAAACGATCTAAATTTCCATCAAATGGTGTTTTGCTTTGTTCCCAGAGCCCATGACCTCTGTTACAGCTTGTCTATACCTTCTCCGTAGAAACCAGCGTCTGCCTCACAGCCTGAGCGGAATACCACACGGGTCCCCCTCATGACAGCGCAGATGCAAGAGTCCCCAGGAGGCTCCCTTGGGTGGGGCCGGCAGAGAGCTGTCTGCTCTGGTCAGTCGGCTGCAGATAATGGGCTATGAGCCAGGCTGCTTTAAAATAGGCATTTCCCGCTCTGGAAAGAGCTGGCTCCTCTCCCCTTCCTGTCATGTAGACACCGGGTGCTACTGGAATCTGCATGTCCGGCAAGCAGGACTCTGTGGAGCGAGGCCTGACTCAGTGTTGCCCTCCAGGCCCACTGCTCCATCCACCTCGGTCTTCACATTGCCCAATTCAAGCCCATGCGTGTGCCTGTTGTGTCCCTCAGGGGCTCTGTCCTGCCACCTGTACGCCTGCGCTCCCTGGAAGTGGGGGGTGGTTTTTATAGGGGAAGCGGCTCTCCCTTTGCTTATTGTGCCCCCCAACTACCTCCACTTTCCAGTGGTTTAAAAGACCCCTAGACCCAGACACCTGTAGCTTGGATCCCAGGTGGGAAACAGGTAGGTGAGGCCCAGGACTTGGCTGTGGGATTGGCCTGTGGCTGTGGTGGGCAGGGTGGGGCGGTGGGCGTGGACCTTTGTCCCTTGCCGTTTGTGTGTCATTAGGAAAGGTCTGGGTGTGAAAGTGGCTTTCCCCAGAAAGATCAAACGGAAATAAAGTGCCTGTGGCGCGGAGTGGTCCCTGTGGGTTTACGATCGGTCGGCAGTGGGGTGAGGGGGTTCCTGTCTTGGAATGGCTGCTGTTCTCACGTTGTTGGGGCCCCGAGCCAAAACCCAACGCACTGGCATCGAGTCGATGCTGACTCATAGGAACCCTAAGGATTGCTGAGACCCTGGGTTGCTGAGACTGGAACTCTTTACAGGAAGAGAAAGCCTCCCATTGACCAGAGGAGCAGCTGGTGCTTCTGGACTGCTGACCTTGTAGTTGGCATAGTGGTTACAAGCGGGCTGCAACCAGGACTCGGGTGGAGGGACAGTGGCCTTGAATTTCTAAGATGGTATTAGGATTATAGGTCAGGGAATGGAAATGGACAGATGACAAATCTTAGTCTGTTCTTATAATAAAAGAAGCAGGTGTCAGTGCAGAAAAGCAGAACTTTTAGGGGAGAAAAAAGAGACCCCCCTCCCTGCTAAGTATTGCTGCCACTAAAGATAACCTTGGTTAATATTTTGGTGAATTTTTATGTCCATCTTTGTCTAGTGCATAAAGCTTCTCTGTTTCCTAATGCATATCAGAGAGTGCGTACCATTGTATATCTGGTTTTCTAAAGCCTGGGGGTCCGGTTGACCCTCCCTTACTGAAAATCAGCCCGAGACCCTGGTATCCAGGAATGGGCTGGTGTGCATTAAAGCTCATCTTTGAAGCTTCCTTCATTTGCTCCCTTTGAACACTGGGTATTTGTTTCACAAGATGATCATGAAATCAGCCCGGTTGAAAGTCAAGCCACCTCTTTCCTCCACCCACCCACCCCCAACCTCGCCATCAGCCTGTGTTTTAGGATCACTGTAGAGAGCATTTAATATGGTCTTGGATCATTCCGTAGCTTTATCTTAATTATACTGCCTGTACCAATTGTAGAGATCCCATTATGTCGAGCTAGCATTTCTGTAATAAGAGCACGCCGGCATTGAGCCTTTCATAAGGCTCCCTTCCCCCAGACCCTTCAGTGGACCCCTTTTTTATTTTGCAAACAGATTACATGTCTGTTCCAAATGGACTCTTCTTTCTGAGACAATGAATGCCAGAAATCTACAATTTCATAAATAGAGTGAAATGCTTGTGTGCTCTTCGCTCTGGGGGTGGGGGAGCTGCAGTTGCAGAAGGTACTGATTGCCCCGTACATAATAGGATTTTTAATTTGCGTAGCCTTCGGCTCCATCATCCACTTCTGAGACAATATCTAAGGGAAGCTAGGATAAACCAAAGCTAAAATTACAGCCCAAAGAACATTTATAGCAGGTCGATTGTCTCGTCTCAACTACAAAATAGAAAGCTTTGCAGCAATTAAAATAGGACAAAGACCCTTTATTCATGTGAAAGTTCCCAGGATCTGTTTAATAGGAATAATCATTTATATGGTATTCATTCCCTTCTTTTTACTTTAAAAATATACTATCCTACATTCATCTCCGAGTACATAGTTAAGACAGGAACCCTGGTGGCACAGTTGATGATGTGTTGAGCAGCCACTAACCACAAGGTTAGCAGTTCAAACCTACCAGCCACTGGGGGGGAAAGTACGAGCCTTTCTGCCCCTGTAAAGCCTGGAGACCCCTAGTGTGCTAGTCTCCTCTGCCAGCAGAGGCCATATGAGCCAACATTGCCTTGGCAGCTGGGGGGTTGATTTTGGTAGCTAGTGGTTACCCATTGGGCTGTTAACTGCAAGGTCAGCAGTTTGAAACCACCAGCCGCTCTGAGGGAGGAAAATGAGGCTTGCTATTCCCCTCAGGAGTTTCAGCCTTGGAAACCCAGGGGGTACTTCTTTCCTGTTCTCTGGGAGTCAGACTTGCCTCGATGGCAGTGGGTTCGTTTGCTTAGGGCTGGTGTCCTATGATTATAGACTCGTGCTTTCTTTATGGTCCTTTGTTTTTCTCTATTGTCTATTGTGCTTGACAGCAAGAAAATATTCCCTTGATAATCGGGGGACACTTCAGTGAGAAGGGGAGAAGAGCTTGTGAAAGCTGAATAAGGGCTGAGAACAAAATGTTGGATTGCTTCATATTCATAGAAGGACAATGGTGTATTTTAGGAAGTACTCTAACTTTCAAGGAGCTTGACATGCCTGCCCATGGTACCCGGAGAAATGCGATTTACGTAAGACTTGGCCGGCAATCCTAAACACAGCTCACCTAAGGAAACCGCTCAGACCTCTGCTGGGACGAGCAGGCCTGAGTGCTGATTGCACAGTTGTGCTGGGGAATCTCGTTCACGGACCTGCCAGCATCCCTAATCTGTATGGGGATCGGATGCTGCTCGCCGAAAACCCGTGTTTGTACAGCTGTAATTGAATGTTTAAAGAAACCTAAAGCTCCCCCAGAGAAGTGTTTTTCACAGGGCTGCAGGGAGCAGGTTTATCGCCTCCATAACTCTACCCGGTCCCCCTGGAGTCTGCGGCCATTCCTCGGGCAGGTGCTCTGTGCAACTGCGTCTTTGATCAAAGTGCTTCACTGCACACGCTGGCCGGTCCAGGAGAATTCCAGGTGGCGGGGACTGCTCCCGCTTGGACGCCTCAGACTCGCTGGCCACGTGTTTCCAAGCCCGGTCCCCCTCTCTGGTTGTCATGGAAACCCGGTGACCACTGAGTCTGTACTGGGGGGTGAATTGTTTACCTTTAGGGTGTCTTTGAGTTACAAGGACTGTGGCGTGGGCATTTGCTCTGGAGTGACCCCAGACATCTCTCCGAGGGGAGCTTTGATACTCACGCTAGAAGACTCGAAGCCAGGGTGTCTCTGCACGGTCGGGAGCATGAAGGCATGGGCTTAATAGCGGGCAGGGTGGGTAAGTGAAGCCAGTGCCCACCTGGCATCAGAGGAGTCCACCACCCGGGAATCCCTGGTTCATACTTGGTCCGAACCACGTTGGGCAGCTGGACGGAGCTTGCTGCTGGTGAGGTTGGGGTCCTTGCCCACATCTGCCAGTGTCTGTGAAAGCCAGGACCTGGGCTGATCACCTTTCCCCATTTCCCGGCAACACCGAGCTGGGGAAGGACAAGTGTGTGCCGCACGACAGACTCTGGATTAGGGAGATTTCCAGTGTTTGGACCAGTGGGCCAACACTAACAAGATGAGGTTTCATGGGGATGCATGTAAAGTCCTGGGCTTAGGGGAACAAAAACATGAGGCTTGCCAGCTCTGAAGGACGGGTCCCAGTCGTTCCTGCGAATGAGACCCGGGCTTTGTTTTCATGAGTGCAGATTCGATGTGAACCCCCAAGGCAGTGTGGCTGTCCACACGCGCCACCTGAGTGGGCATGGTGGATCCTCTAGGGATGTTGGATCATCCACCACGCAGGGCCCCTGGCCAGGCCACATCCAGGACACTGACCACTTTGCTCTTCCAAGTCGAGCTTCCGGGAGCCACCTGCATCTTTGTTGTCATTTCTATTGTTGGGTGTTCTGGCTTCTCCTGTGACTGGGGAGGCTCTTCAGGTCAGGGGCTGGGTCTGCTCGTCTCCGCTCCTCTCCCTCCCACGGTGTGGCTCACCTTGCAGCAGGCGCACTAGTTGGACGGGTGGTTGGTGAAATGTAAACCATCTAGACGAAGGC